GAAGCGCGGCAGCGCTCCCGCCGAGGGTTCGGATCCCACATACAGACCGGTTCCCGCTCACTGGCTGAGCGAGGGGCGGGAGCAACACCGAGGGTTGCAATCCCGTGGCCGGTCCCGGTCCGGTACAGGCGCGACATTGAGGGTTGCGATCTGTTGCCGGTCATGAAAAAAGACAAAAAGGAAAAAAAAAAAATTCTGTAAGTCTCAAGGAAAGAACCGTTAACTTTGCAAAGTACTGATTAGCTTCTCAGCCTTGTTTTCCTATTTAGCAAGCAAGATAAGAAAGTCAGGGGGTGGGAAGAAAGAGTGGAGAGAAAAAAACTGTCCTTTTAAAAATCCCCCCTTATCCCCACATCAGCCCAGGCAGTTTTAGGTCCCAAGATGGCTTCAGTCCTACTCACTCCAACAGAGAGAGAAAGCAGATTAGTGGTTGCCAGGGGCTGGGAGGTGGTAGTGGAAGGAGAGTGACTACTAGTAGATATGGAGTTTCCTTTTGGGTTGATGGAACTAGATAGTGGCAATGGTTGCACAACACTGTGAATGTAGTAAATTCCACTGAATTGTGCACTTTATTCAATCATTTATTTATTTTTTGGCAGCTGGCCAGTGCAGGGATCTGAATCCTTGACCTTGGTGTTATCAACACCATGTTCCCCCAAGTGAGCCACAGGCCAACCCTGAATCGTGCACTTTAAATTGGTTAAAATGGTGAATTTTGTGTTATGTGAATTTGTCTTAGTCCATTTGGGCTGCTGTAACAAATACTGTAAACTGGATAGCTTATAAACGACAGAAATGTATTTCTTACAGCACTGGAGGCTGGGAAGTCCAAGATCAAGGCATCGGTGTCTGGTGAGGGCCCATTCCTCATAGACAATGCCTTCCTGCTGTGTCCTCAAAACTCATTTGTAAAATTGCTAATCCCATTCATGAGGGCTCTGCCTTTGTGGCCTAATCACCTCCCAGAGGCCCCACCTCCTAATACCATCACCTTGGGGGTTAGGATTTCAATATATGAATTCGAGGGGGACACAAACATTCAGACAACAGAATTTTACCCCAGTAAAAACCAACACCAACAAACCTAGGGGAGGAAGAGTAAAAGGAAGGGAAAGATGAAGAATCCAAAAACACCTATTGGAGCTTAGTTTTCTCATCTGTAACATGGTGATAATAATGCCTCCCCAGCCCCCAAGAGTTGGCATGAGTAATACATCAGTGTTACATATAACGCTTAGCGCACAGTAGGCACTCAAATGTTAATTGCCTTCTCACGTGTAAGTGTCTAAACCTATTTGTCCCCTTTATTTCCTCTGTTTCTTGCGACTATGTGGTTTGTGGCTCTAGCCAGACAACCTGTCCTCACATGGGCCTCACGCACTCCTCATTGCACGTGCAGGCTGTGCCACCGTCTGGGGTGTCCTGCCTCCTGTGTTACAGGCCGTTATGGTCCTTGGGCCACTGCCACAGAATCACCTGAGAGCTAATTCTGTGAGACCCACCCACTGAAACTGACTCTCTGAGGGTAGTTAGGGGAAACGTCTGAGGATCTGCATTTTTAATAATTGCTCTAGGTAATGTTCATGCATATTAAAGTTTGAGACTACTGTTTTAATTTATGTCTTTACCATCTCTTCCAGGAAGTCTGCCCAGACTTCTCCTCTGAGATGCTCCTCACCTGTGTCTGACGTTCTGAATGTCTGAGTCAGATTCACCTTGGGTTCTGCTGGGTGTGTTCTCTCCTATTAGACTGGGGAACCCCCAGGGACAGATATCTGGCCCTCTCTTTCCTTTTGTCATCCTAAATACTGATGTTCCTGGTTCCTCCTGAGTGTGGGTTCTCCTGGGATGCTGTAGGAAGTGAGAGACTTTAGTTTTAACGTTCTTGGAATCTTGTTTCCTTTACTTCTGCAGATACTTGGGAGAACCTAGCTTCTCTGTCCTCCTGCCATTCCATTTCTCATTTTTCTAGATGGTATGGAAATTGTATTACTGTGTCATATCAGCTTTTGCTTTTCCAATCCCATCTCGCCCAGGATGCGCTAGGTGTGGGCCGGCCCCCACCCCACCCTGACAAGTGACCATGGATCCTGGAGCTGGGTCAGAGTCATCTCTGACTGTCAATGAGCAGGTATCTTCTGGGATGGGAAGAGGTGGGGGGTGGTGAAGGTGATGAACTGAGAAGTGTGGGCAAGGAAGGAAGATTCCACAGAGCCCTTCACTGTCAGTTTCTTGTCATCTCTGACTGTCAATGAGCAGGTATCTTCTGGGATGGGAAGAGGTGGGGGGTGGTGAAGGTAATGAACTGAGAAGTGTGGGCAAGGAAGGAAGATTCCACAGAGCCCTTCACTGTCAGTTTCTTACCAAAGTTCATGGTCACTTCACCTGTCCAGAGGTAGTTGCCTCAGGCATTGAGTTTGGGGATTTAAGCTGTGACTTTAAAAAGTGAAATTAAAATGTACAAATATGTATAAGTTTACATGGGGAAAGGGATAGACATCAGGTAATTTACTCTTTATTTTTTCTTCCTGCTAATATTTTCCAATTTTTCTGCAATAGATGTTTATTACTTATGTAATTTTTAAAACAAGGAAAAAGATTAACATCTCTTAAAATGTAATTGAAATCCCTCATAGGTCAAGTTTGAGTCAGAAAAGGGACTGTTTTGGGGAATTTATTTCACTTGTCCTCTCCTGATGTGTCACATTGTCATGATTTCCAGCACAATCTCTGGCTAGATCCTTTTCAGGCTTAAGGAGTGTGCTGTGGGAGTGGTTTCAGGCACAGGCCAAGTGCAGGGGAAGCCTGACACAAAGCTTTTAATGACACAAAGCTCTTAATATACAGAGTTTCTCTGTCTCTGATTCTTGAAGGCCCTATTGGCAGCACGTCAGTGCTGGAGTAAAGAGCTGAGTGCAGAGTGTTTGAGCAGGGGAAAAGACCAAGTGTTCTGAGGTGGCTCAGGGTCTGCCTGCATTGCTTGTGCATGAAGGGTCCCTTTGAAGTCTGAGCATGCCCACAGCAGATGGCTTGACTTGAGCTGCAGGCCTGTGGTATACAAAGCTTCAGTCCAGGAGCAGGGCTGGGTGTGGATGGAGAGGCTGCATCTTCAGGATTCCTGACCCTTGTTTTAGGCCAAGTTAGTTTGCAAGGAAGTCCTGGTCCTTTACCCCAGAGCTTTGGAAATAAAGGAATCATGAGCTTAAAAACTTGCTTAGCATCATGGAGCACTCACTTTCCACCCCTTTATCTTTGGGGAACTTCCTCATTATTTCAAGGGAAGTGAAGAGAGATTTATTTCCTGGCCCCTCTTAAGCTGTGGGTACTATGTTAGGAGTCCACATAGCTACACTCCAATATCCTAGCAGCCAAGAGGACAGCCTTGCAAGGATGTGGGATAGGCCATTTACCGCTCTTTGCATTGAGTCCAAGAGAGGGGCAAATAGAAATAATCTCCAAGAGGTTTGGCTCTGTGGGACTTTTTCCAGCTTGTGTCAGGCCTTTTTCCCTGTCACCAGGACCTTTCTTCTAGCAGGTCTTTCCCTGGAATCAGGGAGCTGCAGCCTGCCCCAGGCTCTGGAATTCTTACAGAGCAACACAGTCCTCTGGACAGGAGTTCTATCTACATCTTGAACTGCCCCTCGTCTCTCCTGCAACCATGCCCAGACCTCTGGCCCCAAGGGCTATACTAGCTCCACCCCCCAGCAGTGTCACCATCCTCTGCTTTCAGGTCATCGTGATGTCAGGCCATGAGACCATCCGAGTGCTGGAAGTTGGAGTGGATGCCCAGCTCCCTGCTGAGGAGGAGGGCAAAGGACTGGAGGGTGTGGCCGCTGAGGGTTCCCAGAGCCGAGGCCCTGCTGAAGCCAGTGAACCTGCTGGTGTAGCTGGGACAGTCAACCCAGACCCCTCTGCAGAGGCAGCTGGTATGAGGCCATTGCTCCCATCTGGTATTGCTCCATCTGAGTACCTTCTATGGTCTTCTGTGCCTTCTGTGGAGAGCCAGCATGAGTCCCTGGGGCCCAGGTGGCTTTAGGCTCTTGTCTTCCTGTCCACTGGACAGCCTCTGGCCACAGCCTGTACTTCTGGTCAACTGCCAGGGCTACTCTGCACTCCTTGTTCCTGGAACTTTAGTTCTAGTTTCAGTCACCTCCAGGCCTAAACTAGCATGGGTCAGGATGAGATGGGAGGAGATTGGCAGGACTCAGCTTAGAGGGCTGAATCAACCCCAGAGGGTTCCTAGATCTCAACCAGACTCTCAGACCCAATGCAGAGAGGACTGGACCTTTAGGATCCTGCCAGCCTTTCCAACTCAGTCCTTTTTGTAGTAGAGTTGGGAGGTCCCAGGAGCTGAGGCTGGGAGGGAATCTTACCTACTTCAATCTAAGGATACAGATTAGGTAGGACCTTGCAGAATCCCTGCTCCTTCCTCCCAGCAGGTTTATAGGTGCTGTCCTTCTCCAAAGATGACCGTAGGGCATGAGCTTAATTCTCCTGCAGTGCACCTGTGAGACAGCCAGGGCTGCTTGAGAGGCTGAGCTATGGTATCAGGCTCTGCTCTCTGGCCATGGGGCTCATTTTCCCTGACTTTCCTCAGTAACACCTTGCAGAGTAGTCATCTCCTTTTGCCTTGGGTCTCCTACCTGTTCCCCTACAACACCACGATTCGTCTCCCCTTACCTTCTGCTGTACTTCACCCCTTCCTTAGACTGGGGGTGGGTGGGGGGTGGGCCAAGAAGAGAGCAAATGAGAACAGACAAACTTCAGCGAAACAGCAGCTCCTTAACAAGAAACAAGAAAACGGCACAACCTCGCGTTACTTGCTCTACCTGAAAATTAGCATGCAGATTCTTTGGGACTGTAGTAACCTGAGTTACTTTTTCCCTTTTTTT